TTCTGAACCTACAAGACTCACATCTTACTGCCGAGGAAGGGGAGGCAATGATGGGGCTAGCTTGGAAGGAGCTCGGTTCCCAACTCTGCAGAAGGACAAGCCTTGGCTTGGCCACATCAACCCACACATCCACTGAAGACTCACCAGCACAGATCCTGCAGAAACTGCTTCTACCTGCACTGCTAAAACAGCCAGGCAGTTCTGCAGGGTGCAGTCCCACAGACAACACACCTACTATGGATGTCAACTCATTCCACTGTGGCATGGACTTGGTTTGCCCTCCTGGTCAAGCGCACACCTTTCTGGTCCATGCCAAGCAGCATGGCTCTTCACCTAAGCTCACTTCCTGCAGAGAAGGACACCCTTAGTTGTCTTCACTCTCCTCATAGCAGGGGATGACACATGCTCTGGAGCTGCGTTTGTATTTCCACTAACCACAGAAGGCCTTTCATTGAGCTACATCCCATTAGACTAATCCTGTCTCTAGTTGGACCGTAGTCCACATGTGTTACCAGGAAGAGTCCCAAATCTGCACACTTGCTGGAAGGAGAGGCACCACACTAGCTCAACAGTGTTATGAGGACCCATCTCAGAAGCACAAGTGTGACCTTTCTTGTCCAAGGACAAGCTTTGCTGGTAGCACCCACTATGCCAGCCCTGTAATGGGAGGAGTGAGCCATAGGAAACCCATGTGTCACCTTGGGGAAAGCTCACCACTTCCTCCACTCATGGGGGTTGGCCATGTAGGACCTCTCATCTCCTTTGCACATAGCTGCTTTTTGGATGAGAGAGACTGGTCTCGCTACCCAGCCCCGGGGCAGACCAGCCCCCCAAAATGGGGTGCTTTGTGGTGTCCTGAGATGTGTTTATAGTGTGGCTAATTTTAGCACCTCCCATTCACAAGGAAGGCTCCACCCGGCCCCGCGCTGAAACCACCTCTGGGCTGGAAAACAGCAGCTGTGAGACAACATCTGGCATCGCTCGGACAGGCAGAGTCAGGAAGAGAAGGAAAACAGCGTCTGTCCGAGGCTGCCGAGGGACTCCAGCTAGACAGAGCGCAGAATTTGGCTAGGACGCTGGAAAGAGTAACTCTAATCTTAAAAAAAGTTATTAAAAAAAAAAAAAGATGAGACATTGTAAGATGCCGGTTGCAGTTTGTCATCCTGCAGCCTGCTGTTAACTCCCACCATGCCTCTCCCTGCCATGACATGGAGATGTCAACCCCTCCTGCCTTCAAGTCATTTGGGCTTCATCTTCACAGCTGGAGACCTCAGGGCACCACCCCAACATTGTCCCCTGGACCCAAGCACATGGGCTGAGAGGCTGCAGGGGAGCACAGGACAAGGTCCAGCCATCTCCTGGCCCCACCTAGACAGAGGACAATCCCTTACCTTTCAACTTCATTTAAAAAAAATCAAGACCTTGCAGGGGTTCCCCCCACTCAGTTAGGGCACTCTGGTCCTAGCAGCCCCACAGGTGTCCTGCCCCACAGCAGGCACCACAAGGCATGGAAGAGGGGCTTATGGTCCCCACCAGCCCCCAGAAAGTGATTGCTGGCCTTCCTTCCCTCCCAGAGACTATTTTTTGTGGTAAGACCTTAGTTCTGAATGGCCTTGTTTGCACACCGCATTCCTTAACCACCTGCCGGTAGGAAATGCAGGTGCTCCAGGCTTGTGAAAGACATGCAAACACCTGGGGGCTTTCCAGAAACGGGACAATATGAGCAAGGGGCAGCAGTTGCCCAATGCTCTGCGATGGCTTTTGAGCCAGAACTGTGTTATAAAAGGAACAGGGGTATTTCCATTGATGACTTTTAGACTACAGGTGTCCAAGTCACTCAAGCCTCTTTGAAAAGCTTTGTCTTAGGTGTATGGAGTTTACAAATTCAAGTGCGGGTGAGGATTAAACTGGAAAGGTTACACTCCAACATCTCACAGCTCTCCAACCCCTCTGCACTCCCAGTCCCACCATCCCATCCAACACTACTGTGGGAGGGTGGGGATGGGGTTAGACAATGCAGGTTTTCCACTGGGTCAGGGAGCCCTTGTCTCTGTTTATGGTCATCTTCAGGCATGGATTTTTTTGTAAGCACCCAGAGCAGCTGGGCACAGCTTCATCTGCTTTGCAAGTCTCAGTCATGTCTGAACCATGACCAGCCTCTCCTTCCCTACTGGGACCAAGAAGCAAACCCTCCATAGGAACAGCCAAGATGTCTTTCCGGGACGGATGGGGAGTCTGGCAAACAGCTGCAGGGATTAACTGCACCACTTTGAAATATTCCTGGAAGAAGCAAGGGGTGCTGCAGAGAAAGCCAAGACGGTGAAGGGCCCCCATGGCTTCACCTGGCAGCCCCACAGCCTTCCAGCACACTGCAAAGGGTAAGCTGGAAGTCATGCCAAAGTTTGGGGAAAGATGCAATCCAGGCACACACGTTGCTGGAGACAGGCTCCTGGGAGAGGCTCTGTGCTGGGCATGGCCAGAGGAGCAGTGCTGGCAGAACTTCAGCTCCTGGCTCGCTAGGACAGCCCATCCAGGTGGGTGCAAGCAGCTGCCACTGGTCAGAGAGTTGGACCTAGAAGGGACCAGCCATACTGCCAAGAAGGAAGGTTTCCAGGGGCATGGTTTGATTTGGGACCAGCATCTCTCCAGCTGCTGGAGTTCAAGCTCCCCAAGTGGAAAGAAAACCACCCCCAGGACAAGATCAAGGACTTACCTTAACAAGCAAGTTTCTTTTTCAGTATTCCCACAGCTGCTGGATTCTCACTGGAAGGAAACCTCAAGAAGCTTCATGTTCAGCCCCTGCATCCACATATTTGTCATGAAGACTTTCCAGCTGAAAACTAATCTAACACCTGTTACAATCAGAGTAAGAGGGGCTGGATCTACTCCTCCTGATCCCAAAGAGAGGTTGTGATGAAGATAAGCAGTGTCACTCCTTGTCAGCAAGTGGGGGAGGAGGGGAGGAATACTATAGAGATGTAATGTATGATGGTCATATGTTCAGCAGATATCTGCAGAAGCAACATGCAGCAGCTTCCCTACATACTGGCAACTGCATGTTGCTTCTGCCATAGCTGTAATTGGTCCTGCTGGGAAATCCAGGCCAAATTAGAAGCTGGAGCTCCATGGGGTGGTAACTCCCCAGTGGTGACTGGCAGCCATCAGGTGACGAGCCACAGCACAGCAATCCCTTCAGCCCCTGCATCCACATATTTGTCATGAAGACTTTCCAGCTGAAAACTAATCTAACACCTGTTACAATCAGAGTAAGAGGGGCTGGATCTACTCCTCCTGATCCCAAAGAGAGGTTGTGATGAAGATAAGCAGTGTCACTCCTTGTCAGCAAGTGGGGGAGGAGGGGAGGAATACTATAGAGATGTAATGTATGATGGTCATATGTTCAGCAGATATCTGCAGAAGCAACATGCAGCAGCTTCCCTACATACGCAGATATCTGCAGAAGCAACATGCAGCAGCCTCCCTACATAGAGTGGCAACTGCATGTTGCTTCTGCCATAGCTGTTATTGGTCCTGCTGGGAAATCCAGGCCAAATTAGAAGCTGGAGCTCCATGGGGTGGTAACTCCCCAGTGGTGACTGGCAGCCATCAGGTGACGAGCCACAGCACAGCAATCCCAGGTGGGGAGATGGACACCTGCCCAAAGTGAGCTCAGATGAGCTCCAGGTGGGGAGATGGACACCTGCCCAAAGTCAGCTCAGATGAGCTGGCTGCAGGTCTGGGTGGACACCTAAGACTTGTTTTAACTCAGTCCAAATCACTCCAGTCTCAAAACCAACTTGGAAGCTATGCTATTTGCAAGTCTACTTCTTTTGGCAACCAAAAAAATAATAAGTAAGAGACTAATATTGTTATTATTTCAGCTTCAGAGGGGTGAATAATCAGCTTTGCAAGGAAAGCAGCTTGGCTGACTGCTGAGGGCTTTGCAGAGCCACCCATCTCCCTTTAACATGGTGTCCCCACAAGCTGAGATGTTGAACATTGTCTGCTCCTTCCATTCAGCCTGGTTAACATCCCTGGCACACACTGCCCTTGGAGGGCCAAAAGCCAGATCAGCAGGGAAACAGGAGACCAACACAGACACACACAGGATTCCTAACATTTGACTTAAAACTGAATGAATCACTTAAAGACCAAGAGAGAAAGTTGCAGAGACCCACCAGCCCCCCACCATCTACCTTTGCCAACAACAGCTCCCAGCAGAGACCTGATCTCTGAAGCACAACTCATCAGCTCCAGCCCAACACTTGGTGTCTTACCAACCCCTACTTTAATAGCCTCCACTAATTAGCCCTCGTTAGCCTCTGAGCTCTTTCTGACCATCTCCCTTGCCTTGCAGTGGAGCATTTTCCCTACTGAGTCCATCTCTTTTTTCTCCCTGCACAGGTGGTGGGACTCAACATTTATTCTCTCCTAATTTGTGGCTTTTCTTCCTCCTGTCCCTCCCTGTTGGTCACCCACCTCCAGCACCCACAGAAGGATTCCCAGCCCTCCATCCCCTCTCTTCTCTGAAGGGAGACCCCCCTGCACCCCTCCTACCCCACTTTCAGCTCCATGCTGGTGTCTCACCAGCCCAGTGGGGTGTAGGGAGCCGGGGCAAAGCCATGGGTGTATCTTGCCTCTTCCTGAAAACCACTTCTTTTAGGAGAAGTCTTTGTGGATGCTTTCTGCCTTATGCTTCTGCTGAATTTGTTTGCAGCTGCCTGTGTTGTCAGGAAGATGCTGTGGTCCAGGAAGGGCTCTGGACACAGCGTCTCTCTCTGCCTGACTCCCTGGCTGGCTCACACAGTGTGTGTTGCAACACGGGGTGTCTGAGGGGTCCTCATCTCCGATGGGCTGCCCAGCATCCCCAGGATAAGCCTGCTGGGCAGGCACCCCTGAGCCCCGTTTCGCTGGCCCCAGTCCCCCCACCCAAGGCTCCAGCATGTTCTCAGCCCCTGCCAACGCTGTAGGGCAGCAACATGCAACATATACGTGGCAGCTTATAGAAAGGATTGGGGAGACTCTTCCCCCTTTTATTGAAAATGATCATTTCTATTCTAGTGCAAACACTGTACATTTTACATCACAAAGCAAGAGATAATTTACAGGATACATTTTCATCTGGGAATCCCTCCTGTGGCTTCACGTGTCAAGCCCCACCAGTCTCATCAATCATCCATCCCTGTCGTGCCCAAAAATCCCACTCTGAGGGAATCAGCCACCTATTTCTGTGTTGAGAAAAGGGGGGGAAGGGCTGACAAAACAGCGCTCGTACAGAGCAGGCAAGAGGAAAGTGCCTCAAGACCATTTTCTCCCCTGAATGGTACCCAAACTTACTGCTAACTGGGGTAACCATGGCAACTTCCCAGCGACTGAAAGTCTACTAAAACCCTGGAGATCTCCACGCTTTCAGGATAAGGCCCTTAATTTGCACATGTATTTACATGGTTCAATAAAATACAGATTAAACATACACAATCATAAAATTTCACTTTGGCTTGACAGACAAGTAGACACTGCCTGTTGGCTGAAGTCATCAACAATTAAGACGCAAACAACAAAACCTGTCCATTCCTCCAGCTGGACTCCGTTTAGCAAATCCATGTAAATGAAGCAAAAATTGTGTCGGATGCTCTGTTGTAGATATTGACATTGCCCAGCTCACAGGTGATGCAAAGGTCTCATCTGGACTGACAACAGCCCAGTCAGCTGTGATGGCATCCCCAACAAAGTAGCCCAACCCAAGGCAAGACACAACTAAAATTGGAAGTGCAAAAGCTCACACAACCTTCCCATAGGAGCAGCCCCATGCAAGTCAATTCAATCCCTCACACAAATACAGTGAGAAGGGTGAACAAGGGCTTGCACAGCCATTTATGTGAGCTCCTTCATGTCACGTCACAGCGTGGGGGTAGGGATGGATATCTCGGTCCACAGATGGATAATGGAGTACCAGGAGCTTCATGCTCTCTGAACAGCCTCCTTGTTCACTTCAGAAATGGATGCAGGCACTAAAGAAAGCTGTTCAAGGTGATGTTTCAAGGTGTGATGATGAAAAGGTGTGCAAAGACTAGGGGAAAGCCACATGCCATCAAGATGCTGAAGGAAACAGCTGAAACCTCCAGGGTGGACACTCGGGCAGCCTCAGGCCACCACGGGAGAGTTCATTCAGGCTGCTGTCGCTGCTGGGATGCTGGTGGATTGCAGAGAAGGGCAGGAAGGCAAGGAGAGGGGAGAGCACCAGGCTAAGGCACTCAACGACTGGTTCAACCTCTGAGTAACATTACATTGCACCAAGTCCTTTTTCTTTCTGATTGTGCAGGACATGTTCTTCAAGAGTTTCTGTTTGTGTAGGCACAGGAACCGAGAACAAGTTTCTAAGTGAAGGCTGAGATTTCCAACGTGATCACTTGGCTCTAGGAGCTGGAACGACACTACTCATGATAGAAATATTTTGGTTTAGAGATCTTAGCTTCTCCAGACTACAGAAGAAAAGGCCAAAAAAGGGATCAAACAGAACATCATGAATTTCTTAAAACACAGTGCTTGTCCAGCCTCGCTTCCCCTGCTGGTGTTCTGTCTGCAAATGTAATCTGCAACTTTAAGGTTTTTGTCCTGATCACAATTGTATTTCCTTTTTTTCCCCTCAAAAATATCCATACAGAGAGATAAAAAAAATTCCAGCAGCAACACACACAATCACGGGCACAACCTACACCAGTTTGGATTTGGGACTTTTTTCCCCCATTGCTAGCTCAAATACTTTGGCTGGATTTCCATTCATACTCTGCCAGTTTAATTTTCACCTTCACTTTAAAGAGATTTATTTCTCATTTCCTGCAACATACTATTTTGGACTGTCAAAGCCCACTGTCAGACATCTATATATGCCCAGCATGTCTGCAGCAAACACCAAGATGGAGACCTAAGACACTCTACCAGAAGCATCCCTTATGACTGAGGGTCATTCTCCTCCCCTCATGGTTCAGCCTGGACCATGGAGTAGCTCTGCTACCTTCAGTGGGACTATTGTTTTGGGCATGTCTCCTGCACAAGCACTGTTTGCCATAAATAAGTCCCCTCCTCCTCTCAAATTTGAAAGAGGCAGGCACCACTGGCAACATGAAAGATCCTAGTTTCCTTAGGATGCTTGCATGGAAGAAACCCCTTTTAGATTGCATGTCCTCTACTCTTCATGGAGAGAAGGAACTTAGCTCCTAATTAGCTCTCCAGACCCCAAAGGAGAGAGGACAGCAGGTAAGGAGAGCAAAGGAGTGGTTAAGGCTACAGGACAATCCTCACTGGGGAGTGTTATGGGAAGTGGGGGAAGATACAGTCTTTGTGTGGGATGCTCCCTGCTGAGACATCACTCGCCCTCACAGGGACTGGGAGAGACCTTCCATGGGGATGTCCTTGCCTTTTCCCAAGAGTCACATGAACCGACCTGACTGGAGAGGAGATCCTCATCTTATTGTATGAAGCTGCAAATGCCCATGGGAAAAAATCTGCATAGGAGTGTGGCTCCCTCCAGCTCCACTTCTTTGGGGTTTCTCACGTGAGCTGGCCACTTCAAGTGCTGCCTGAGGCCACCGGCAAGAGCCCCGACAAGGGCGAGAGAGGCTGCGGCTGGAATTTCAATGCACGCTCCAGGAACCTGGATGCAGCACAAACATCCCAAACATTTTCAAATGGATTTTATTTTGTTTAATAAAAAACACCAACCAAGCTTGCATGTATATCTTATATATATAAATATATACAGTATATATAAAACAAATGCATCTGGACAACGCCTTTCCCTGTGGCGCAAACCGTAAGGCATGGAAAGGTGTGTCCTAACAGTCCTACTCTTGGCACTACAGAGCAATCCCTCCCACTACAACCCCCCACCGCTCACACACCCACGTTGGCTTTTCTCTCTTCTTTGGCTTTTCATGGCAGCAGCACCAGGAATACTCGAGAAAGCAATGAAGCGCTGCGAAGCCCAAGGAGGTCTTCCTCACGTCTTGGATTGGTCCAGGCAACTTGGGCAAGATGACCCCATTTTGTTGGACTAACAGGCTTCTCCCAGACTAACAATAATGGCGCTGCCTCTGTGGGACAAGGGACTGGAGGGATGGAGGGTCAGGCAGATACAACGGAAAGCGGTGACCAAACAACTTCTTCTAGGGTGAGCCGGGGCAGGGGGGAGAGGAGCAAGCTTTGCATCTCAGCATGATGGTGGGTGGGACATGTCCACGGGCTGAGATGGGCAGAGGTTTCTTTTTGCAGTCCCCATACAAAAATGGAAACCAAAAAGGGTGAGATTGTCCTTTAGTGAAGAAGCTCGTAGTATACTGAGCAGAAGCAATAAACCTGACAATAACAAGAAAAAAAATATGGTGGCATTATCCCAAAAGGAAGGAGGAACCTTGTCACTCACGAGCGGTTCAGTTTGCTCCCGGTTTGGTCCCCATGTTCAATTCTGGGTTAGGGTTGGCTTTTTTTCTTCTTTTTTTGTCTTTTTTGTGTTTTTTTGTGGATTTTTTTTTTTTCTTTCAGCACAAACAAGTTGCAAAGCAGGACGGGTGATGTTGTATTTTCTCCTTCTGCAAGGCAGCTGCCTCCAGTCGTTAATTGACTGTGGGCACTTGATTCCTCTGTAAACTATATTCCTTTGCCTTCAGTCTCAGGTTGGCAATACTGTTGGCCATATTCATGCCCTGTGCCGGGCTGGCGTTGGTACACGTGGCAGAGTAGGTGGCCATGGCGCTATGGGATGGAAAGAGAGAAACATCATGTCAGACGTGGTCTTCACACCACGCAGAGAGCAGACACGTACCACAGCGAGGTGAAACCCTTGGGGCTTTCCATACCTGCAGGATGTATTTCCTACGTGAGCGGAGAATTATTACTACTTTCTATTTTACACTCCTGTAAATCTCTCCCCTGCGGTTCACTCACCCAGGGGAGAAACATCACGTCAGACGTGGTCTTCACACCACGCAGAGAGCAGACATGTACCACAGCGAGGTGAAACCCTTGGGGCTTTCCATACCTGCAGGATGTATTTCCTATGTGAGTGGAGAATTATCACTAATTTTAATTTAACACTCCTGTAAATCTCTCCCCTGCGGTTCACTCACCCAGGGATAGCCAACGCCAAAGCTGGCTGAAGTCAAGAGGAAAATTTCCATTTCCTATTTTCTAACCCAGAAGGTTTACAATGAGGTCAGGGTGCCCAGCCTGCCAGTTAGACCATTGTCTTTAAAAGTATTCCCACTGGAAGCAATGTCTTTTTGATGAGAGCAATTGTTGGTTTTATTGCTTGTGAAATCACGTCACTTCTGAAACATATGTTACATTAAAGAAACACTCCGGGAAAAACCCATTTCAACAATTGTGATCCATTTTGGTTTCAGCCTTTTGGAATGAAAATTTCCACATTTTTTCCCTCAAAACTTCAGCTGATCATAAAGAGCATGCCTTGAAGGCTGAGGGAAAAAAAACAACCCAAAACATTTTTTCTCCCTTCAAATCATGACTTTATTCATGAAAAACATTACTTTTGGCAGCAGAGGCCGAACAAAGATCTCCGAGTCCTTTCTTATCCTACCAAAACTTTGCAAATCTGCTTTCCAGACCACTAGAAAACTTGTTTAACCCATGTGTCCCAGATTTCTGTGAAAAGCAACCTCTACCGCCCCAAAAACCAGCAAACTATCTGACCTACTGCATTTCCTATTCACGGGTCCACAGATCAAAACCAGTTGAAAAACACCAAGTGAACTAGAGATACCCATTTAACGCAGCCAGCATGTTCAGGAGGAAACCACAAATGCTCTGCTGGAGGCAAGCTCAGGTCTGGTGCCGAGCCTTTCCAATTGCCTGCTTGGGTGGATCACGTCTGAGGCTCTGGGAAACACTCTCCTCCATCCGTAGCACAAGAAAAAAGATTGCTTGAATTTTCCTTTTTCTTTCTTTTTTAAGAAAATTTCTTCCAGTGCTGACCTCCACAGCTGGAAGAGTCTTTGCAACAGCAAATCTCCCGTGAAGAAAGTGGGCATTTGCTGCAGAAACAGATCCAGGCTGTGGGCATGCACACTTGCCCCAAAGTGCTGGTGATATCTCTGACTCCATAAGGCAGCACCGACCTGCCAGGAGTTTAAATGCAATCCAGTGCTGTCTGAATCCTCAGCCTCCAGGAGATCCAAACCAGGTAATACTAGCAGATCCCATCCCAAGTGACTCCTATTTCTCACTTTAAAATGAAGGAAAAGAATTTCAGGGAGGAACTATCATCGGGACCGGTGGAAACACAACAGCTTATACCCATGGAAAGGACAGGTAAGACCTGTAGGTAACAAGCTGTCTGATGCTTACACCCATCCAGGGAAAAGCACCAAAACCTCTCCCCAGGAGGGCAAACATTCAGGATACTTTGAGTGCCTCTGACAGCTACTAGAAGGATGTAGAGGATGGACATTAAAGTTCACATCTCAAAATATAGTCTCAGTTCTGCCCAACTCAGGGTGCATCAGCTGCATTTTGCTGGGGTCTAGGACGTGATGGATTGGCATGCCTGGAGCCTTCCCCAGCTGGCTGCACACCCCCTCAGCTTCCTCTCCAGGGCTGGGTTGGTGACTTTACCCTCTCCTTCCCCACAAGTCAGCAGCAACCTGAGAAACCTGAGAGCTGCAGTTTCACAAGCTCTACAGCTGGTAGCTACTTAAGCACCCATTCCCACCTGCTTCTGCAAGGTACATCTCCCCCATGTTTTTGTTCTGGAAGAAATTAGAAGAGCCTCAAGAATAGTCTAGATTGGATAAAATAGGAATTTTCAGTGTTGGGTGTAAACTATCCCCATTCAAATCCAAACTTCTGCCCAAGTCTGGTCAAAAACTCCAGGGAGCCTCCGGCTCTCAGCTCCCCAGAGGTATGGTGAAAAATACTGTTGACCAGTGAAATCTCTGCTAAACCAAAAATCTCCAGAAACACTCCCTTTTAGCAAGTTATTCCACAGGAGCAGGATGCAAGAAAGCTGTCTCCAAAGATTGGTATAGTTTGAGGGTTGCTCCAGAGACTCTCCAGGGTCTGATGAAGGTTGAAGTCCCCCTGCTGCCTCCTCCCTCCGCCCCATTCAGGCACCGAAAGAGTCTCCTTCCTCTACTCAGCTGCCTGATTTCATGAAACACAGAGGAACATCATGTTTCTGAGGCCTAAAACCCTTCTTTCAAACATGGTTTTCAATGGCCCGTGGACTCAAAGGCTGTTGGAGTGGGAAGTGCAGGCTGACAGCGCGACTGCTAGGCTTGTTTTCTTAGGAACCTATGCTAAAAAATGTCTAAGCAAAACATTTCAACTTCAAAAAAATAATAGTATCTACTTGGCTATCTGTGTGACACAGATCTGCAAATAGCTTTGGTTGACCTGTGGCTGAATGTATTTGGAGAATAAACACACTGATTGAAAACTTTCCCCAGATCTAAGAGTAAAAACAGCACTGGCCACGCAGCTCTCAGCCCTCTCCCAGACTGGCCGTTAATCAGGGGCTGGTACAGCAGCACCGGGGAGATGGGGAGGGGGCAGAGGGCCATGCAAACACTCTGCAGGGCTGTTTCTCACCAAGTGTTCAATATTTTAATCATCCTACTCAGTTCAAAGGTTTAATGAGGCTGTGACAACCTGGCCCAGGTGTCCATTAAGATGAATGCGATTGCTAAGAGATGACCCGTAGGATTAGAAAGCCTGGGGAGCATGAAGTGTCTGAGGGTCCTGACTGTCCCACAATGTGGAAGCCAGCTGCTCTGCTCCTCTGCCAATGCCTCCTACCCCTCTTCAGGGCAGTGGGATGGTGACAGCCCATCCTGTTTGACATGTCAGCCAGCGGGGATGGATGTATGCTGCAAATGTCTTTGATGAAACACCTTGGCTTCAGACAAAGGGAAGGCATCAAGACAGTGAGGATGTTCTTGCACTGTGAAGAGGCACAGCCAGGTCTGGACCTCAGGGGGAGAAAAAACATCCCTAAGGCTTTCCCTTCTCCCTTGCTCTCCTCATTTGCACATCCCAGATGCCTTGGACTTCTCATTGCCCCAGACAGCCCTTCCCAGTGTGGCCCTGGAAGTTACCTTTGCAGGGTCTTCTCCTAGAAGCCGTTATGAAGCCCCTCGTGTGAACAACATCTTGGGAGGGATGATCTATTTTTAAAAGTGTGAGAGGTAGAAATAAGCCACAAGCGTTCAGCAGGGATCTGGTAGCGTGAGCAGAGCACTCTCAGTGGGGTGGGGAAGGACCTATGCTTCTCTCCCCTGAACTCACCACCCAGACTTCTCCCTAGGATGCTACACCAAGGAGCACTTCACAGAGAAAGCCTTTAACCCCAAAAGGGGGGGTTCACCAGACAGCAGTCCTCAGATAAAATCCAAAGGATAAGGGCCATCTCAATGACCAAACTGCTGGTCTTAAAAACATCCTTTTCACCTGGAGTGGGTGAACCTATGACTTGTTCTTTGGGAGCTACAGGGTGGATGAAGAGAACTCTATGGCACTGACAAGCAACAAACCATCAGGAAGGCCATGTGTTTGCAGACCTAACTGTGAAAAAAATGTTTGGGGTGCAAGAAGGGGGTCAAAGTGACCAAAGAAGGGAGGTTCTGGGCACAATGTGGCTCCCAAAAGCCAGCGGGAAGCTGGCTGTGACCAAGCCAGATGAACAGGAAGGAATCCAGCCAAAGGCTCCAAGGTCCTAACCAACAATGAAGCCACTGTGCTAAAAAATACCCACCAACCTCATTTTTAACTGCCTACAAGCCAGCTGGCTCCCCACAAACCAGCACATCCTGTGGATCTTGTGTCCACACCCAGTTCCTGCTGGGTTGTGGATGGCATGGAGGAGGACAGGGAAGCCTGTGACATGCATGGACATCCCCCAGACCCTTTGAGCAGACTGGGGTTGCCACATCTACACTTTTTTCCTGCCACCCCTTAAGCAGCACTAGCCACAGGAGATGAACATTGAACACCAGTCTGCCACCCAGAGACACCTGTTCTTTACTGAGGGCAAACCACAGCACAGCTCAACAGCACAGCTCGAACTCATGCTTGTGCTCGAGCAACCAGAAAGAAATTGCTCACCAGTTCAGCACTGACCATTGCGAGGAGGATTGGGAGCAACACGCATGGAGTGATTTCCCAGCCCTTCCTTGCATCCCAACCAGTGACTGCCATGGGACAGCCACAGAACTCCCTCTTCTGGACACTGTGTGGTGGCGGATCCTCCCTAAGTGCTCTGCCACCACCTCCCCTGGATTTGTGCCCATGGAAAAGTTTCTTCCTTGCTTTAAACTGGATGCAAGAGCAACCTGTTCTGTCTCCATGTAATTTCTACCTGAATCTCTTTCAAAAATTCCTGAATTGCAGAGAGAGACCACCAAAAAAGAAGTCACAACCTCCCATGGAGGCGGCTGCTAGAAAGTGAATATAAACAGCCCATTAGAAATGTCCAAGGGCCACTCTGAGGTTGCTCTACACTGTGCCAGAAACTGGTCAGCCCCAGAGGGGTTGTTCACTCACCTGTAAGGCGAGGCGGTACCCCAGGAGAGATAGTCGGTGGGTCTTGGAGCTGGGCGAGGTACTATGGGCTGCTCCACGGCGGTCACGTCCCCTGAGTAGGATTTGAGCAGAGAGGCATTCTTGCTGGCCAGCATTGCCCTCTCGTTCCGGCGAAACTTGGCTCTCCGGTTTTGGAACCACACCTGAGGTGGGAAGCACACAAACCCACCAACCATCACAACCACCTCTGCTGTGACACTCACACTTTCCCCACACCACCTCTGCCCTGCTGGGAAGGACAGGACCTTAAAAGCAGGCTGCTTTGGCATCCCTGTGACTGGAAACTCTAATGACAAGACCCGACAAAGATGCCCACAAGATACCAAATGACTGCCGTGTCCAGCTCACTGGGGAGAGCATCTGTCATTTGTTTAGTGCCCAGCCCAAACCATGACACCATCATGAGAGGAACTGGCACAGTGAGGTCCCTGTGGGACCAGGTCTGTCCAGTCCTGTAGGCAGCAAGGCCTGGGAGTGCTGTACAACACATCAAGTTCCATGGTCAGAAGGTACAGGCTTGTAAGTGAAGAGCTGAGCAGCTCAAGATAATGTGAGTAGCCTGAGCACAGAACATCCAGCATCTTGGCCTTGAACAAATCATACGAACACGTCTGACTGGACAGGCAGTAGGCAGATCAAGCCTGGCAGTCCTCCTCATGGCATGGCACACTTGGGACTGCACTACAGCATGACTCAGAAGCTTGGTGATCCTAGTGTGCCATGCAGACCTTGAGGATTTCTACCACTGTACAGGAATGGCCCGATGACACCCCCAAGGTGAGGTGTGTCTGGATACAAGCTGTGGTGATTACCTGAACTCTGGCTTCAGTGAGGTTGACTCTGCGTGCAAGGTCTTCCCTTACAAAGGCATCGGGGTAGTGTGTCCTCTCAAAGACCCTCTCTAATGCTTGGAGCTGGCTGCTGTTGAAGGTAGTTCTGTTCCTTCTCTGCTTTCTTTTCTTCTTCTCTTCTGAGTTCAGCTGATCATCTAGGAGAGAGAATTGGGGATGTGAAAGGCTAGAAAGCCAAGAGCCCACAACAATGGGATGAATAACATCAACGGTTTCAAGATGGAAAGGGCTTAGGAAGGGGTGTGCACAATTTCAACACCGCACCTTAACCACACCGTGTTAGTCCCCATGTAAAAAGGACGTGGACAGTGCATTGACAACAGGCATTTATTTCCCAGCTCAACTGCATAAGACATATACTGAGTCTCTCAGGCTACCCTATGCCTCAGCTTCCTTATCTCTAAAAAGAAACTTGTAAGTCCAATATGCACCTCCCCGTTCCTGACAATCCTAGAAACCTTTTCTGACCATAAAGACTCATGAAGCCCTGTTCTCTCATCGACAAATTTCCAAGGACTGCCCTCACTGGGATGTAATACAGGGTGAGCACGAGTCCTGCACCAGCTCTTGCTGACTGTGAGAAGGTGTGCCTGTCTCTGGGTAAGGAAATTGCAAGGAATGGTTATTGCTCTAGGCTTGACTACAGCCAAGGCAATGTCATTCTCTATATGTGGCTCCATTTGGCTTAAACGAAGACTGCATTCCCTTATCCTCCCCACATCCAGACTGAGAGGCGTCAATTCCGGCAGAGATGGGGAGCTGTGAACAAAGAGGGATCAGACAGTGGAAATGAAGCATGACTGATACGGGCCCGAACAAGAGACAAGTACAAAAGCCAGTTTCACTTGTATGCTTGCAAGCCAAGGACATGGAAATACAGTCAGATAGACATGGATATCATTGCCATTGGGAAGCAAAAACCCGTTAAGAGAGAGACTGAGTATAAGCACGTCGGAGAACAGTTGTGTACTCTGCAGCCCAGGCCAACAAGGTGGTGAGCACCAAACTGCATCCCCTGAGAGCACATATTGGTTTGTGCCTCGTTGGTATTTACTCCAGCAATAAATCAGTGCATCCATACAGCTGGAGTCATACTTACCACAACTGCTTGTGCCTATGGTCACTGGAGCAACACTGGTGCTGAGATACCTATGAAATGGCTTTTCTTAGCAAATATCTGCTCTGCACCACCTCTCCTTTTCCCAGTGCTGTTGCACACGCCAGTGTAGCAGCAACAATGGAGCTACCAATGCAGGGGCACTCGCAGGTACTGGCAAGCAGTGAGCACCAACCCCAGGGGTTTGAGCACTCTTTATTAGGACAAGCTGGAGGCTACGACACCGGTTTTGCTTCTACCCTACCTGTACCAAAGTATGTACCAAAGCATGTTCACTCATCACACCAGTCACAGCACAGCAAACACTTCGGTTTCTGTGGGGAGCCACATCGAAGGAAGCGGAGCGCAAGGCACCAGCCTGCAGGGGCAGGAGGCCACTGCTGCCTCCAGTAGAACAGCCCCATTGAGGCTGCAGGGCTGGTGTGCCATCAACCTACACTCGTCCCTCTTCGAGTGCTCCAGTGTGTCTGGGGTCCCACCAAAACCACCAAGCCTTCTCATGCTCCCACAGCCCAAGCCTTCAACGCTCCCAAGCCCACCGGGCAGAGTCCCAGGTGGGCAATGTCCCCGTGGTCCCACTTCTGTGGAAGAGCAATAGTTACACCTGGGAGGATCTGAGCCAATATATGTGTCAGCACGCATTAAAATATATTGATCTTTGTATTTATAAGAACGCACGAGCTAGTGAATTATATTTTAAGTTAATCACTGCACACCTTGGCCCAGCTGACAGTCTCACCACCGAGAGCCCAGGGGCTTGACCTGCTGTATACACTTGCAGAACATCCCCTTGACACTCATTCCTTTCGCCGTATACAAACATGACAGCTCCCCTCATCCTCCTGTTCTCCAGGGGGTATGTACGGCACAGGGAGAAGCTGACAAGGAAATTAAAGTCTATGCTTGTTGTCCTCCCCACCTGTTTGTGTTGCTTTTCACAGCCCATCTGGTAACAGTTACTGCACCTGAACGCCTTTGGAGCAAGGCCCATCCAGCCGGGAACAAAAGGACATTCCTCTTAAATGAAAGGAGGTTTTTCAAATTCCTGCAGGTTTACAGCTCCTCCATCCCCAAACCTTCTCCAACAGCCTGACTATCCCCAGCAGACCCCCTTCCAGCCTGGCGACTCCTGGGTGCAAAAATACACCTTAAAACAAGGCTACAGGTGAATCTACCCTGCTCAGGTGATGGAAGTGAAGTGGTGAAGCAGAGGGATGGGATTTAACTGCTGCTTGTGCAGAACACCATGCACTGCTGGGGGCTTTAGCTGGGCTGTCACAGCGTCCGTGCCTTACAAAGAAGCAGAAAAGTCCTGCACGTTCCTCTCTTGATGCATCATCAAAGCCTTTGCTGGAAGGGTCAGTGATTTCCCTCTTGGCTCTACCGACGAGCTTCGATGTAGTTGTGCACCACGCAACACAGCAAACAGCAAAGAACAAGCCTCGGGGCACGATCGTCCCTCTGAATGGCAGAAACATTGCAAGACCAGCTGCCGTAGAGGCCAAAGTCAACATGGGTGTCTGGCCTCCTTCCGAGTTATCCATTTCTCGCTATTTTGTAATCTAAATCCTGCCTACATGGATGGGATGAACAAATCAATATAAGCCTTAGGGACCCCTTGAGAATCCCCTGCAGGCCTCTTCAAGCATTAGTTCCTGCCCAGAAGATGGCTGGAGGAAGCCCAAGCCCAAGGCCATCTGGGCATTGCTCGGATCCTGCGTGACACTTACACATGAGGAAGGGTGAGGACATCACTCTGGGGAGCAAGAAGAAGGGCCAAAGCCCGTAAAACGCTGGAGAACATGAATCCCTCCTGCCAAGCACGTTAATACAATTTGCCTGGTTTCCTCCCGGCGTAAAGCGAGACACCGGTGATTCACAGATCGTAATTACCGGACCCAAAAATAGCAGGGCCAAGGAACGGAAAGTTGCAGGCAGTGGCCGTGTTGCAGTGACTCACGGTCGGGTCACCGCTGGCTAACGCACCTCCAGCATCGGCTGGCACGGAGCAGGGACGTGAGTCACCCCCTTTTTCCAGGAGGTAGCTGGATGGAGGTGGCTCGACAGGCAAAGCCCAGCCTGTCACAGAGGAGTCGGGATTTTGAGATCTCCTTTCACTGCACCTCTGGAACGGCACAACGCAGCTAGATCCAAATGTCTACAGGAGTTACTTGAGTAGCAGGACAAAAAAAATAAATAAAATAACTGTATTAGCCCACAGCACTGCTGGGCTGATCACTCTTTGCGTTTTGCCATGCAGACATGCCATATGCTGATTACAAACTGCTAACGAGGGATTGCAGACACCTAAACCCCAGGTGCCTGCAAATGTCACCTTGCTCACAGCAGTCACCGGCTGCCTTCAACATGTCAGCAGGGTATTTTTTTTTTCCCCTGCCATTATTTCTTTATCAGGAAACAACATTGAGCACTGAAAAATGGTATTCCTAAACAATGTTGACAGCCCCAGTGACTGGAGTCAGCAGAAACAGAGCGAAGAGGAAAACAGCTCTAAAGCTTTTTAGATGGGTCAGAAGTCTTTCATCAACATTCTTTTAATCAGAAATATTTTATTACCAGCAGCGTTCTCAAAAGCTGAGCTGCTTGCAAATGCATCCCCCAGAGAGATGGAAACGCACGTTCTCTTCCTAGGAACCCAATGCTGGAAAATCTGGGAATTTCATTTCAAAATCCCAACCTTTCACGTCAGGCTGGGGGATTTTATTTAACGTTTCCACATTTGTGTTTTCCTGTGTTATTTCTACATTCACCCACGACATTCAGTCCTGGTGTCAGACACAAATGTGCTTCTGGGATGCACCAAAGAATTTTTAATTGCTCCTAAATCATACAGTATGAAACATCCTACTCTTTTTTCCCTTGCTCATCATGTCTCCTCTTGCAATGCGGCAGATCCACACTTGAAGACGCTCTGATCTGTGCTCCTTATTTTTCTCCTAGTGTCTGTGACTATCACTGGAGTACCATCAGATGGCTGCTGATGGGAAACCACACAGAAAATATAATGAATTATAAAGCAAAACATAGTTGAGAATTAAATACCTATATAAGTTACAAGATCAGTATTTTTTCCACCAACACTTGCAACCGCAACATATTTTGGATTTCCAGTTTGCAGGAATGCTTGTGCATACTTGCTTTCATTCCAGGTCAGAACAAAAAATAATTTCCAGGTGGGATTTACATTGCGTGGGCAGTTTTTAAAAGTTTTGACCAATTCCATTAAGTCCAGAATCAGCTATTATAGTACTTTAATTGGATCCAAACTGAAAGTAAACAATTGGATTTAATTAAGTGAGGAACAGAGACATTTAACCACAACATCACATACCGTAAGGCAGGAAAGATTTGTCACATCAGTTATATAAACTACAAACTGAGAAAGGATTCCAGGAAGAAAATACGGAATCACACTATAATCACAGCCTTCAAAATAAGAAGTTACCACTAAAGTCTGAACACAGAATAAAGAAAAAACAAGACAAATTATTTCCCAGGGGAAAAAAATAATTTAGAAACTAAAACCCCAGAAACTAAAACCTCTTTTAAAATAAAAAAAAAATCCTGCAAGTAAAAAAAAGAGTTCTATTCAGAGTGGTGAAGAAAGAAGGGAAAAAGGATAATAGCAGGGAAAAGAACAGGTTTTTTATTGGGTTTAAAGTTAAAATATAAGAAGCTTGAGTAGAAATATTTCCGTGGGTCCCCCCTGGCTCCAGGCAGACTCCTCTCCCCAACATCAGCCATCCAGACAGCTACAGCCCTTTGCAGGCTCATGTTCCAGTTCTGTTTCGCGCTCTGCTTTGCTTTCGATTCATTATATCCTTCCAAAACATTGCAACTCTTTGAGTTCCAATTCCTCAGTTTATATAATAATAAAAAAAACCACACAAACAAACAAAAAACCAAAACCCAAGCCCGAAAGGTTTAATCAAAGCTAAAACAAGGTACCGGGAAAGGGAGTGGGAAGCAGAGATGGGGGCACAGAAAATCCGCCTGGTG